TTTTTTTTTTTTTTTTTTTGGCATTGTTAAGCCATTGTGTAGCCAGTAGTGTTTTTAATGTACCCTACTGTGCTTATTATTTAAATATTCAATTGTCATTTAATTTGCCAGTTAAGATTCCAGTCTATGATCATCTAGACAGATGTCCAAAAAGACCTGGAAAACTGTAGTAAGAATCAGTAGAGCCAGGAGTCACTGTGAATTCTTGAAAAGCTCGGTGGCTGCTTCCTTGAGGCACTGCAGGGGGAAAGAAAATCCTTATGTTATGCAACTACAGAACAGAATAAGGCTGTTTTTGTAACATATGTGAGTTTCTGATCATTTCCTTTCCAATATCTTCCAGGTTTAGRCTAGATCTATTGAAGCCAGATAGTCTTTGGAGTGGGACATACTTCACAACCAGACCCGCTTCTGATCTGGTTTTGGATCCAGGCTGCTTTGGGCACTTTTGAAGTCCTAGACTTAAAGCTGTCTAAGAAGGGGGAGTTTCAAGCTTAATGAGGCTTCCCAGTCTTTCTAGACTAGTAAGAAGCAGCTGTAGAGGTACAGACTTAACATACAAGGCAAGACTTTCTACATGGTTTGGAGACTTTTTCAACAAAAACCTCTGTTACATAGGGAGTCTCTTGGCAGCAGGGCTGAACAGACAGCTAGCACTGGAGTGACTAATGGTTTTGTTAAATACTTGAAGGAAATGATTGAGGGGACACTTGTTCCATGTGTTCCTCCTGAGCCAGTGTAATCAGCACTTTATTTCATGAGTAATAGAGTTCAGCTCTCAAGAACTGCAAGGGGACCCGAGAAACACTAAGCAGCTCTGCACCCAGTGCTGAGTCACACGGTGTGTGCAGGAAGTCATGAGAACCAAGTTGGATTTAGCAAACTCATTGGTTGGAGGTTTGTGCTGTAACAGAAATAACTCTGCTTGTGTCATATGTCCCCTCGCCTTCTTGGGCACAAATGTATTATTGAATTAAGTCAAAAAGTCCCGTTAGTCTCAAAATCTTCATCGAAGCTTTGGGAAAATAGCTGCTGCCCAAGGTGCTTCGTGTCTTTCTCTGTTATTTTTAAAAAACCCTGGTGTTCTGCAAAGCTGATATCTCTATGAGCAGGAGAATACAGTCTTTATTTTTCCGATTAGAAAAAGAACATAGCAAACTGAAGTTGCTAGACTGAAAGTGGAATAGTCCTGGTATCCAGAAGCAGCCTTGGATTATGAAATAATTGCTACTTGTGTTGTTTCCATGGGGAAAGGGCCTCACAGATCATGCTGATAAATGTAGTGTTTGAAACACAGCAATAAGCTTGGATTTAGATCTGCCTTCAGTTTCRCCATAGGTGAAGGATTAAGAGCAAGGCTGTTGCTCTTCCATCTCWAGTTCTCCTCTCGTCTTCTCTGACGTTCGTGGAACTGGGAACCTTGTCACGGTGCTTAATCCTAACCACAACCGGGAAAGGGGTCTCTGCCCTTAGGAAATAAGCAGAAATTTCTTGAAATTACTTCTGCCAATGCTTCTCTGCTTTTTTCTCTCCTATTCCATTGAGAATTGTTGGTAAACATGCTCGCAGCACTTGCAGTATTTGTCGCTGACAAGCAGGAGTCCTGGCTGCAGCCAGGAGCTGGGCAGAAGGCCGCACAACATTGTCCTTCCCTGCCTGACTTCTCGGCTTTGCAGATTCATCTCCACTTCTGCTGTCGTAGAAGCCAATGAGTAGGACATATGTTTGGTAACTCTGAAAATGAGGCATTTCCTGAGCAAATTACCCAGCTTCTTTGTATAAATTTGGAAATTTTGGAGTCTTTTTTTCTAATTGTTTTTTTCAGGGAGGAAAACAACGTATAAGCAAATGCAAACACCCACTTAAAGACTTCAAATATTTATGGCTTTGCCTGACCTCTGTGTATACCCCACATTCTTGCCCTTTTATTCACTCCTATCTCAGTAACTGGTTTCTGTGCCTGTCAGGTTTATATCACATGAAACTTTGGAAGAATGAGCAATTCTCTTAATAGCAGTAGGACTCTGGAGAGTTCACCTATGTGTTAGTAAACCCTGGTGAATTAGAAGTTAATTTGTAAACTGGAGGCAGTGACTGTCTTGCCCAATATGTACCTCACTTAACACATGTCTWTTTCCTGACATACAAATAAATGAGTTACAAAACCCAAAGATATATGTTTTTAGTAATGRAATTCATTCTTTTTTCTAAGTAACTTTATGAAGTGCCTATTTAAAATGTTTTTATTATCCCCAAACTCATCCAAAGAGCCAAAGTTGTTGCTGAAATCTAAAGAAATACTTCAGCATTAATCAGCTCTGCTCAGGAAGCCTCTGGCACAACATAGAAGAGTGCTGTGCTTTACTGTTCTCTCAGTGGATTAAAGCCATGATGAGTATGTTGATCCAGCTCAAGTCAATTGATTTCATTAGGATCATAGATTTCATCTAGTATTTTAAGAATGTAGGAGACTTCATTTGTCGTTTCCTCAAATATTTTATTATTCTCTTATGGTAACTCTGCTAACATCCTTTTTTCTTATAATACATTAAGAATCAATTCTGCTGAATCAGCTCGACATGTGATACTGGGTGTGTGACGAACTTGCAGAAARCTCATTCAGATAGGGCTGGGTATTTTCTTTGAGGAGCCCTGTAAGGACAGTATGGAGTGGAATTTAAGGACCTTACTGCAAGTAGGACTGTCTTTTTGGCACCGTGTTAGCTAGAGGCAAGTAGAATCCAACCTTTGGAGGGTAAAAGAAGAGAAGTTTGCAACAAAGCAACATGCCATGGCTTCTTAGTGCGTCGTGGCTTCTTAGATTTMAGCTGACACTTTTTCACAGTACATGGGCTGATTTGTGTGGTTGGACTCAACTGGTAGGATTCCAAGCACATCTTCCCCATAACAYGTTCTGCTTGCCTGTTCTTTCAGCATTTCCAAGTTTGAAGAGCGGTGCTGTTTCCTCTATGTGCTGCACAACTCGGACGACTTTCAAATCTATTTCTGCACAGAACTTCACTGCAGGAGGTGTGTCCCACTTATTCATCATTCATCATGGGCATTTACATCCACTTTTTATATGTTATAAAAATGTGTAAGAAAATGCAAATTTTGGCTGTTTAGTCTCCACATAAACAGAAAATATTATTATTTTGTCCCCAAACAAGTYGCTGTTGCACTGAGTTCATACTTACTGCAAACCTTTTTTTATTTTGTTCTTTTGATTTATTTAGAGAATTATTTGTGATGCCCTCATACTAGGTCTCAAATGCATATTTGTTTGCTTGAACAGGTTTTTTGACATGGTGAACAGTATAACTGAAGAAATAGGGAAGAATGATGATGGGGAATGTGATGGAGACTCTCTGGAGGTACTGTTTATTTTTTTCAACAWAATAAGAATTTGGAGCTTTTAATATAGATTTTAATATAGATTTTTGCCTGGGTGGGAAAATTAYTTATCTCTTCACCAGAAAAAAAAAGACCAAGATTATCTTTTGACAGTTTTTTTTAATTGTCTAGTGTATAAATTAATCGTTCTTGGTAATTGTCCTCATATAGCATTTATAACCAGCACTGCTAGATGTCTTTTCAGTTAGCACACTCAGAGGGTGCTGCACTTTGGGGTTCTGCAGTCTTGTGTGTAGCAGRATGACACTTGTTAGGGTTCCCTGACAGTGGCCGAGTCAGGCGGTGTTGGGCCCTGTTTAAGGAATTTTAAAACCCGTGTCCTGAAGTCCTAGTGGCAGCCTGGACTGACTGGCAGCCTGGACTGACTGAGTGTTGAACCCAGTGCTGCGTCTCACTTGGATGCTGACATCTTATAATACACCTAAGTTTGGAAATGGGACAGACAGAAGCCACTGGTGTGACTTGTGGGAATATGCAGTGTAATGAGAACTTGAGGGTGTGTATTTTAGAGGAAAAGAGGAAAGAAAAGCAAATTATTGGATGACTTGATTACAGTGGATAAGTATTTTTACAGGGAAAATAACTAAATGCTAGTGAGCTTTTTAATCTAGTGAAGAAAAGCAATGATATGAAGGTGAAGCCAAATAATTTTGAATTAGAAATAATAGGCATGATTTACCACGTGAGTAATTAACCATGGAAACAGGCTAGTAAAGGAAGCAGTGGATTCTCTGTATCTTTTATTGAAAAGATACCAGTCTTTATTTGAAGGAAAAGGGAGAGGGGGAAAAAAAAGCTTTCTTCGAGCGTGAGCTGCTGGGCCCAACGCTGGAGTGAGAGAGAAATCACTGGTCCATGTCAGGGAGGAGAAGGGACGATGCAACCGGCGGCCGCTTGGGAGCTGCCCTTGGACTCCATCCGTGTGGATGGAGCCGGAGGTGCCGTGATGGCCCCACCGCGCCGTCCCAGCCTGGCCCCGCACTAGTGCGGGAGGCTCTGCCGGGCTCGGGAGACACCGTCGGGTCAGGATCATGCCCGGGATGGCGCCCTGCTGCGCGTGTCCGTGCGGGAGCTGCCGGGCGGCGGCGGCGCCCGTGCCCTCTGTCGCCGCGTGCGGTCCCTACAGCGCAGCTGCAGCTCCCTTGGGTAGGACAGCAAGCACAGCTACAGCCAGGGGATAAAGGGCAGCGTGCCATGACACCCTTGTCCCGAATGGAAGCCACTGGGAAGGCCCTGCGCCCTGTACAGTTAATGGAGACACAGACGTGTCTGTGCAGTGTCTGGACTGTCCTTTTGTAGAGCCCTTCTTTGCTCTCCGTGGTCTGCAGAGAGTCTCCTAGAAGCCTTACTCGTGTGCATGCCGCCAGATGGAATAAATCCATTTCTTTTCTTTCATTTTGTGGTTTACTTTGCAGTATGATTACGAATATGATGAAAATGGCGAGCGAGTCATCCTGGGCAAAGGAACTTACGGCATTGTGTATGCGGGACGAGATTTGAGCAATCAAGTCCGAATTGCTATTAAAGAAATCCCAGAGAGAGATAGCAGGTATYGTAAATGCAGCTCATTCCAAATTTTGTGTGTTATATAGTTGGATCRTTAAGTAACACAACTAACAAGTTTGATGCTTAGAGGGTAACTGACATACAAAGAGCCAATAAGTTACCTGTCTTTGGTATTAAGTGGTCTCTTCAATTTTTGTTTCTAGACAGAAAAATACCAAAGGAAATGGTGACCACTGAGCATCTAGATGTTTTCAGATTTTGGCACTGAGGGGTTACAATGTGTCTTCTTTCCAAAGCAAATGCARCTGAAATATCGAATCTCATCTGAATACCTTGTGATAAGCCCTGTATTCTTATGCATGCACATATATGTTTTTATCATAGCACYACTCATATTCTCGGTCTGTAGAGTTATAGTAGAATACAGTAAACTGTAGAGTTTAAAACTCTGAGCCTGAATTGTTGATAGAGACATTTCCCTTTTTGTGCACAATTCGTCATGCAGTCTCTTAACATGAGACTAAAACATGTGGAACTGTAGAATGGTCTTTTCATCAACAATTTTTAATGCGTATATTATGGGCTTACTGATCTCCTCATCTATAAAGGTTGCCAGRTAAAGACCAGACAGTTAGTGGCCGTAGTAACTGTATATTTTGAAGACAGCAATGAATTTGTGTCATGAATATAAAGGTTTCTACAAATGTTGTAGTAGAAGTGGTAGCAAATCTYAGCATCAAATTCAATGTATTAGTTGTCAAGTTATTCTTATTCTTAAATTTTACAATAACCTTTTCTTGTTTGYGGTCAGGTGACGTAAGAGTCATTTCTTAACACAGAACTTGTGTGTCTGAATCTTTAAAGTGGTTCTCTGGCACATTGTAAAATATTATTAAAGTCTGCAATTTAGGCAGATTTTTCAGAAAACTAGCAAAGCAGTCGCCTTTTGGCATGATTGATAACARAAAAATAAATTCTTCCTTTTTTAATAATTAATTTTTATAATGGAAATTCTTTTTACATAGTCAGAATTTCCCTGGGTAGCAGGAGGAATCGAATGCTAAGTGACTGCAGGCAGAATATCAGGCATRCCGAAAGGTGACTTTTTGCCAATTATTTAAGTTGGGAATGAAATCTATATTTGGAAGTGTCCTGTTTCCTTTTGCCACTTTTGCCTTTTTGGTTTGGTAATCTGATCTGTTGGATAGCTTCTCCACCAACAGGGACAAGGTCCCATATTTTAACATGCTGCAGTTTCTCTGTAGGAGGAAGTAACAGGATCCTTGCTTGCACAGTGCTCAGTCTACAGCTCATTACCAGGAAGGAAACTGGTTTTAGCCATCTCTGTTTCTCAGTTGTCTTAAAGAAGGTGTTAGTGTTCAAAGCAGCACTTTCAAGAGGCCGTTCATGCCTGTCCTGATGGCTGTTCTCATTTTCATCTACAACGTTAGMCTGGGGGGTAAACCCACCAGTTGTAGAAAAGGAGCATTATTCTCCACACCCTATCCTATTGTTATAATAATTATATTGGATCCTACATGTTGACAGGAGGCCGTGTAAAGACTTCCACGAAGTTTTCTTTGTGTGCTCTAAGGGCACACTTTTCATTAAGCAGAAACTTTCTTTTATTTGTCGTATCCTGAAGAGATGTTCAGATGCCCCTACTTTTTCTTTTGGTCGAGTTTTTAAGAGTTCAGGCTTCACTTGCTGCTTGATGCTGCAGTTGGGTGAACGGGTATTTCAGAATATTTCAGAATATTTAAGGTTGGAAGGGACCTCTACAGATCATCTAGTCCAACCTTCCTGCTCAAGCAGGCACACCTACAGCATGTGGCACAGGGTGGCATCCAGGCGGGTTTTGAAGACCTCCAGAGTAGGAGACTCCACAACCTCCCTGGGCAGCCTGTTCCACTGCTCTGTCACCCTMACAGTAAAGAAGTTGCTCCTCACCTGGAGACGGAACTTCTTGTGTTTCAGCTTGTGGCCATTACCCCTCGTCCTATCGCTGGCCACCAGTGAGAACAGCYTGTCCCCTTCCTCCCTGCATTCTCCCTTCCTGAACTTATACATATTAATCATATCCCCTCTGAGCCGTCTCTTCTCCAGAGAAAACAGGCCCAGCTCACTCAGCCTCTCTTCATACGAGAGATGTTCCAGTCCCTTAATCATCCTGGTTGCCCTTCTCTGGACCCTCTCCAGAAGCTCCACGTCCTTCCTATACTGGGGTGCCCCAGAACTGCACACAGTACTCCAGGTGCGGCCTCACCAGAGCTGAGTAGAGGGGCAGAATCACCTCCCTTGACCTGCTGGCAACACTCCTCCTGATGCAGGGTAACTACCTGGCCCCAAAGGAGAGGAGCTCACGTGCACTTTTYCCTGCCAGCTTCTGGCCTAGTGCTTAGCTGGCACTCCTGGCACTACTGCTCTCCTGGCTCCAGGCAGAGCTGCTTCCTCAAGCTCAGCCAGCAGAAAGCCCAGCTACGTCTGCCTTCGGTACACCAAAACCAAAACAAACCAAAAATGTTCTGCCAGTTCTTTAGAAAACCACAACATCACCCGTATTGGTGCAAGGGCTGTGCTGAGATCGGCCTGATGAAGGTGAATGAATAAAATAAATACTAGGGCTGTTTGTTTTGGTGCAAGAAGCTGCAAGGTGAAGCTAGCTATTACTGTTAGCGTTTCCTCGGTGCCTCCTCCTGGCGCTCAGCACCCCCTGCTGCTGCCTGCAGTTGGACTGACCAAGGAGCTCTCTGTCCAACACCTTCTTCAGCAGCCTGGAAGTCGAGCTGCAGATTTTAGTGCCTTAGTGGCAATGATCATTAGACTCAACAGATTGTTCCAATTTTGCCAGATAAAATATTAAATCTGGCAACTGACCTGATGGGCTGTGTGTGACTCACTCCTGGCTGGAAGGGAGCACATCAGCTTCTGAGGTCCAGAGTCCCAGTGTTGTTCCACCCTGGCAGGGTTTGGACTTTAGCAATCTGCCTGGCAAAATCGCTGCTCAAACGTCTCTCTGAAAAATGCTTCACCTTTGGCCGAGCTGCATTTGCTGAAAGTGTTCTGAGTTCTTTGCAACGCCTCCCCATGGAARCATCTGACAGCTCGCCCCTCTTGCTTTCGGATAAGCCCCCTGCATGAACTAATTGAAACTTAGATGGTAATTTGTTTTAATTATTGAGCTGGTTATTATAGTCTGCTGACTTTCTGGTTTCCTTTGGCCTTAGTTTGGATCCAACTATTTGCCCAAATRTTTATTCTCTTCAGGTTGGGCTGGAGAATTCCTTTTCCACAAGCTCTATTTTGCTACCTCTGTTTGTTTATTTATAGATACGTATATCTAAATATATATAATATATATRTATATATATGTGTGTGTATATATATATATAAAGTATATATGTGTATATATRGGGTGTATGTGTATATGTGCAATATTATATATTTTGCTGGATATAATGTWATTTCTAAGTAATTATGTGTATATGATTTTTGGTACATGGAGTTCATGACCACTGTTGTTAAAAATATCTAATATATAAATATTATTTTACTGTACACAGTACCCCAGTATCGAGGTGCCATGTGCTTCATAAGACCTCAACTCCTATGGTAGGCACAAGAATTTGCCTTTGAAACTCAGCATTGCATAAAATGTTTCTTTCATTTGCAGGTATTCCCAACCTCTCCATGAAGAAATAGCTTTGCATAAGCATCTCAAACATAAGAATATTGTCCAGTATTTAGGTTCCCTTAGTGAGAATGGCTTCATTAAAATATTCATGGAACAGGTGCCTGGTGGTAAGTTGGGGTTTGATGGGTTTGGAGTTTTTTTTTATGTTTTAAAAATACAAAACCTATAGCCATAACCTTTGTTTAGCATCTCTTTAATGGGAAAAATGGAAAGGTCAGGTACCTGAGTTCCCCTGGTCATGGGGCAGGTAAGATAGGATACAGATGTAGCTCTGATGCGGCTGTGTCGCCTGAGCTCCCTCTGTCTGCAGAGCCAAGGTGATCCTGCACAGACTGCTAGTCTYGGGTGGCTAAATCCTCCCTGTGGGCACAGCCATGGAGAGCGGGGCTGAGGGCTGTTCCTACTCAAAGAGCTTGTACCTGCCCAGGCATGGGAGAGAGATGAGCACCTAAACTGGGGGGCTTCTGCTYGGCCTGTTTGCAAAAGCCTGTGCTCCTGAGCTGCAGATGAGGCCAGTGGAAATATTTAAACTCCCTTTTCAATTACATGGGCAGAGGATGATGCAAATAAGTGTTATCCATGAGAGGCCTCTGGTTACAGAAGAGGAGTCTACACTTGATTTGAAATTGCTATTCATTTTTGTTGTTACCTTTTTTTTTTCTCCCCCTTTGAAAAAGAAAGCAGAATTTAATTAGGCTTTACTCTCACTTTTCTCCTTTCCAAAATTATAGGCAGCCTTTCTGCTCTTCTACGATCAAAATGGGGACCATTAAAAAATAATGAGCAGACAATTGGCTTTTACACCAAACAGATTCTTGAAGGATTAAAATACCTCCATGATAATCAGATAGTGCATCGAGACATAAAGGTGAGAAACTGTCCTGAAAATGATGTGCAAAAGCAGTAATGTACTGATCTTATGCTTTGCTTGGGAAAGAAAGGAAGAATGGTTCTCTGTACTTTGATATGATTAGCAGATCACACATGACTACAGTTTTATTGTTGGAGTGACTTGCAGAGATTTAGCACAACAGTTATGTCTCCAACTAAGCATTTATTTTGTACTTAAAAAAGAAATATGAAAGTTACTCATTTTCACATACATTCTGTGCTGTTCCACAGTGTTAATTTTGGTCTGCATCAACAAAATGTTTTTATTAGAAGAAATAACTTAGATTAGCACTACCATTTAAAATGTGATAAAGATATATTTTTTCTTTTGATGTTTTCAATTGCATGACCAAACTTGCTTAAAAACTATCAGGAGATTGTGGAGGGAATATAGGCAGGCACTTTCGCAGTGAGATTCCACTCCTTCAGATCCATTTTCTTTCTTTTTTTCTTTTTTTTTTTTTTTCCTTCTATTTTGGTATTCTTTGAAAAAATCCTGTAGAAAGATGCGGAAATTCTCTTTGAAATGAAATTTCTTATAATGGGATTACAGAAGGCAGGAACACTCTGGAGTCCCATTTCATCACCCTAGCAAGAGCCTTGGGGAGCAATTGCTACATATTAAGAGTACATTATTTTAGAGCTGTGTGTTGCAAGAAATCTKAAGTGAATAGTCAGCAGAGAAAAATAATGGGTCTGAATGTTCTGTTCTCCAGGGTGATAACGTGCTTATCAACACTTACAGTGGAGTGTTAAAGATATCAGACTTTGGAACTTCCAAGAGACTTGCAGGAATCAACCCCTGCACTGAAACTTTCACCGGTACGTTCCCGGAGGAGACCCCTTCCCTCGCTCCGGCTGTGAGGGTGGGCTTGCAGCCCACAGCTGCTTGGCTTACATATTGATTCAAAGTCAATGAAAGGTTGCTGCAGCTACAAGCTATTTCTGCCCACCTAATCCTCAACTACAGGTTGTCTGTAGTGCACTGCTCAAAGAGAATCCTGCCTGGGGAGTTTCCTTTGAGAAAGGGAGGTCCTCTACAACAGAGGGGTAATGTCTGTCTTCCATCACCTTTGAGTCTGTCTCTTGCTTTGACCCCAGAACTGCCACCTGCAGARTCTGTTCTTAACTTGATCCTCACTCAGTTCTTAGTAATGTGGTTTGGACTTGCAATCATTCAGAGGCACCATATTAACTAATAATGCATGATGAGAAGCGACTGTTATTTTAGTTCCATCCTCTATTAAATTCCTGCTCTCTAAAGTCAACAAAATGCCGAGTGCTCTGTCAGGATGGTTCCCATACATCAGAGGAAACGTTCAGAGCACCTGGTCATCCAGACTTCATTCATTTACTTCCTTTGCCTCTTTGAATGCACTTCAGAATAGTCTTCCTTATTTTAATCTTGATCGTGTAATACAATAAACRAAAATTAAAATTGATCTAAAGCTTATTGAAATCACTAATAGTTGTAATTGACTTTGTAAGGGACGGGACCAGATGAGTAGATGATACCAGATGCTTCTAGTAGCAACTAAATTTAGCACCAATATTATGATTTGGAATTTTGAGTAGTATTTTGAGKTTTATGTCAACTATTTATGAATATTCCTTAGTTGTGAATAAGAGCTTTTTTCAGTCTCCTGATAWTACTCATTCCCCACTGATTTTGTTCACGTCTTTTTTGTGTTATTCGCATGTCCAAGTGAAAACCGAGTACTCTTTCAACAGGTACCCTTCAGTACATGGCACCAGAAATCATCGACAAAGGCCCCCGTGGCTACGGGAAGGCTGCAGACATCTGGTCCCTGGGGTGCACRATCATTGAAATGGCCACAGGGAAACCCCCGTTTTACGAGCTGGGAGAACCGCAGGCCGCCATGTTCAAGGTCAGGCGCCTCCCTTGTACCGCTCCAACTGGTGTTTGTAAACCCAGGAGATCTTATGACTGTTTTGGAAAAGCTGGAATTGGAGATTGCAGGAAAAGAAGATAAAGGAAATGCCTCGTTAATGAGGATGTTAAGAAGAATGAGCTGATTCAGCTGAGTGGGAGTATTGTATAGTTTTGAAGGGAGTAATTGAGCAATAAAACAGCTATTCACCAGCCTGGGTATTTAAAAAAAAAAAAAAAAAAAGAGCTGAGAAAAGAAGTAGCTTTCTGTTTTGTGAGAGCTCCTCTTGGAACTGTTTTTTATGTAGTTGAATAATTATACAGTTTGTAATAATTTTATTGTTTGGGTTAATTAAGTTTTAATAAAGTAATTACTGTCAGATAATGTCCAAATATGGTAAAGACCTTTTTGATCCTGTTTAATATCTGAGAAAAGAACAGTGCAGGCCAGTGCATTTTCCTTCATCTGTCTCAGGTGGGAATGTTCAAAATACACCCCGAGATTCCTGAGTCCATGTCTGCAGAAGCCAAGGCTTTCATACTGCGCTGCTTCGAACCCGATCCTGACAAACGAGCTTTTGCTCACGAGCTGCTCGTGGACGAATTCCTAAAGGTTTCAAGTAGAAAAAGGAAGTCTCCATCAAAGCTCTCAGGTATAGTGTTGCTGAACGCACTTTGGAATTTTTCTCTAAGTAATGATACTGTTTCCTAAAACTGCTGGTTTAGTCTTTGGGATGGAAATGGTAGATCCCCACTTCAGTTGAATTTTAATCATAACCTTTTCCAGCATCTTGCTGCGGAAGGGCTGTAGTATTCTACTGTCACAAGGGCACAAAGTGATTCAAAAGAATACAATTTCTAAGTCTTTCTCTAGGTTTATGCAATCTATTTTTAATGTGTATATTCTCCCTTTAAAGAATGCACAGCCTGTATTGTGTATAATGCCATTATATGATGTTAAACCTCAGCTGAGTTTTCTGTATGAGCACGAAACTCTTTGTTCCTTGGCAAATGTACACATCCCGCATTATTTTTCTTTCACGTGCTAATCGCCCCTAGCATTCTGCATTATGGGGCATAACCAAGGAGTTTTGAGAGTAGAAGTGTTTTTATGTACATATATATATATATATATATATATATATATATATGAAAAAAAGTGCCTTCAGCAAATTTTTTATTACTTAAAAGAAGAAAAAAAAACAGACATGGGGTAAATTTAGATGAAAGTTTTGACCTCTTTTTCTAAGTTCATTTTTCATTTCATGAAATTATATTTATTTAAAATGAGATTGCAGGCAGGAGAGTACAAGTAGTTAGTACGTAAAAGTGGGAATAGAGGTATCCTTTAGAATATACTTGTATCTTCTCACTTGATTTTAGATTGTTTAACTTGTTTTGCTTTTCTTTCACAGCTCTTTCTGCTAACTCAAATGGTGAGTTTTAACATATTTACCTATCAAACTTAAATGTGTAGACACTGCTGTTACCATTTATTCTGTAATATACTACAGCAAAACATGGCACAGAGAAGTAAGCATAATTATGTAAAGTGATCTTTCTCAGTTGGGAAGCTTTAATTCTTTGTGTGGATTTAAAATAACTATTTGTAATCAAACCAGACTATGGCTTGCTTTTCTAGGCAGGTGGCAAATACAGGCTTGAAAAGCTACATTGCTGTTGTAGGGCCATTCAGGGGAAATTTAAGGAGGATGCCAAAAGGCTATTGTTTGTTATAGCAACAGAGCAAGGTTTATAGAGAAAGATAACATAAATATTTTTATTAGACTAAATTCTAGATTTGAAAAATCAGAATGCATTTGGGATATTTTGTCTGGTCTGAGTACATAATACTCATCTCTTTAAGAAAATGAACTGGGGAGGGTAGAAATAAAAATAAATWAAAAAAAAGAGTGGTTCTCTTCAGGGTGGGTTTTAAAACATCAAAGCATGTTTTAAAAAAATGGATATGCGTGGAATGTGTAGCAATAGTTTCTTGCAGCACTTGGATGTGTGCTCTTGATTTAAAAACAATCTGACTTAACATGCATGCTTATTATTCAAGCTTGTGAAGTATTTAAGCTTAAACAAAGTAATATGTGGTTTAAAAATAATATATATATATTTCTCTATTTTTTTTACACTTCAGTAAATTGGGCTTAATGGAATCAATCTCTTCTCTATGAAGTTAAAGTTTAAATTCTTGCAAGGGATTTGAGTGGCTTACCTGCATGTAGAGATACCACATTATTTCTGAGAGTGTGTGTTGATGATATGGAATGCACGTTCACTCCAGTGGTGAAATTTGCCAAGTAAGCTTGCAAAAAGCCCGGTATTTCCATATCTCTTCCAATGAAGCTTTTCAATAAAATTGTCTAACATTATATTCCAGAAGAACGAGTTCTGGGGATTTTATTTTGATGTTATTGTGTGTGTGTGTGTGTGTAATGACAATTAAAAAAGACTAGAGACTTTTTTAATTAAAAGACTAGACTTTTTAATTAAAGGACTAGAGTCTTTTTTCCCTCTGAGTGAATAACCTTTTCACTTCAAGAGTGCGATAATGCTATTTAACTCTAATGTTCTGAACGTTCCTGTATGACTAGAGTATCTTCGGAGTATATCCTTGCCTGTTCCTGTTCTGGTGGAAGATACAAGCAGCAGTAGTGAGTACGGCTCCGTCTCACCTGATACGGAGTTAAAGATCGATCCATTCTCTTTCAAAACAAGAGCTAAATCCTGTGGAGAAAAAGATGGAAAGGGAATCCGGTCCCTTTTTCTGAGGTGAAGAGCTACCTGGCATTTATATTACACCGTAGTTTAGGTACATTGCATTGGGATTATTTTGTTAATGTTTCTTTCTACTGTCTTCCCTTAAGCATCCCAGATGAGAATTTTGAAGATCACAGTGCACCTCCTTCACCTGAAGAGAAAGATTCTGGTTTCTTCTTGCTGAAGAAAGACAGTGAAAGGAGGGCYACTCTTCACAGGATATTGACTGAGGACCAAGAAAAGGTGGTGAGGAACTTGATGGAAGCTTTGGCTCAGGTAAAGTAATTTCAGAGGGCAACAAAAATTCTATATGTTTTGAACACTTGTCTGCAATTRTTTTGAACATTTAAATACACATACTAAAGCAACCAAAAAAAAAGAAAAAAGCTTTGACCCTGAAAGCACATACATTGTAAGAAGTAGTGTTTTTTTGTTTCACTGAGGCTCTTAAAAATGGGCACTAAATTGTATTTATGCTGGGGTACATATGCCTCATGTTATTTGTAAATAGTACAGCTGTGTCTGGACTTTAGTGATGGCTGACATGTCTGGAAATGAGTGAGCAGTGTGCCCTCGTGGCCAAGAAGGCCAATGGGATCCTGGCCTGCATSAGGAGGAGTGTTGCCAGCAGGTCAAGGGAGGTGATTCTGCCCCTCTACTCAGCTCTGGTGAGGCCGCACCTGGAGTACTGTGTKCAGTTCTGGGCACCCCAGTATAGGARGGACGTGGAGCTTCTGGAGAGGGTCCAGAGAAGGGCAACCAGGATGATTAAGGGAATGGAACATCTCTCATATGAAGAGAGGCTGAGTGAGCTGGGCCTGTTTTCTCTGGAGAAGAGACGGCTCAGAGGGGATATGATTAATATGTATAAGTTCAGGAAGGGAGAATGCAGGGAGGAAGGGGACAGGCTGTTYTCACTGGTGGCCAGCGATAGGACGAGGGGTAATGGCCACAAGCTGAARCACAAGAAGTTCCGTCTCCAGGTGAGGAGCAACTTCTTTACTGTKAGGGTGACAGAGCAGTGGAACAGGCTGCCCAGGGAGGTTGTGGAGTCTCCTACTCTGGAGGTCTTCAAAACCCGCCTGGATGCCACCCTGTGCCACATGCTGTAGGTGTGCCTGCTTGAGCAGGAAGGTTGGACTAGATGATCTGTAGAGGTCCCTTCCAACCTTAAATATTCTGTGAATCTGTGAATCTGTGAAAACCATGTCTTCATGGTATTGTATTTTTGCCAGTGATTTTCAAACAGATCTAATTGAAGGTGTGAGATTGACTAAGGTAGAATAGAGCAGCTTGAGAGATGATTACAGAGATGCCTTTCTTGCGCTGTTCTGTGGATGTCTGGATGGAGAGGARGTTAGGGTTTGTAGTGTACTCCGGCCTCCTACTAGGTTACTGCACATGAAATACGGCACTAACTGGTGCCTCAGTGTATTCCAGCTAACAACCATAAAAGTGGAAGGCAAGGATCAAGGAGTGGGCCTTCCACACAGCAGTTTGGGAGCACATATGGAGGAGAGGGAAAATAGAGGAGAAGAGGGTGCTGAGTTGCAGCAAACAAAAATAGCTGCAGAGTAGCCTTTTGTGGGGGTGATCGTGATGTAGCAGTTCAGGATGACTCCCTATAGATTAGGCCACCACTGTCCTGCTAGATGTTGCAACACTGAGTCGGGGCAGCGTGTTTTTCAGTCGTGTTTGTAATTTCTTAGTAGCTGTTTGACTCGCTTCATTCTCAAGGCTGGGAGCCGCATGATGTTTGTATAGAATGTGGTGAATTGGTTTCTAAAAGGAGCAGTGGTTTGACAAAGTRATGCAAACCAATATGATTCTCGTGTGTGTACCACAGATAATATAGTTGCATTTGCTTCCATGCCAGTAAGAAAAGCTTCTAACTCTTGGAGGAAGCAAAACAAAATAAACAAACAAAATTGGTAATTGTAGAAAGTTTTAAAATAGAAGATGGCACTAGAGATGCCTGTGATCCYTGCTTTGCTGTTATAACAGGTGCATCTGTCAGCATGTGTGTGAAAGGGATAACCAAAGCGAGCGTGAGAGGCTGAAAATGGCAAGGGGTAGGGAGATCTCTCCATAGCTCCTACAGCCTGAGGACGAACTGCACTTTGCCCAGCAGGGATGTGCTCTGCACGGCCCCCAAAGGCTGACAGGCAGAACCACTGCACACACAGAGCTCCAAGCACACGGCCGTGGGGCTGCAGAGCTCCAAGCACACGGCCGTGGGGCTGCAGAGCTCCAAGCACACGGCCGTGGGGCTGCAGAGCTCCAAGCACACGGCCGTGGGGCTGCAGAGCTCCAAGCACACGGCCGTGGGGCTGCAGAGCTCCAAGCACACGGCCGTGGGGCTGCAGAGCTCCAAGCACACGGCCGTGGGGCTGCAGAGCTCCAGGCACACGGCCGTGGGGCTGCAGAGCTCCAAGCACACGGTCATAGGGTTGCTACCCCTGCAACAGGGTGCAGAGCTCTGACTCCCAAGCACAGTCTGCTGCCTCAAAGAGAGGGACTCTCTTCTGCTGTGGAAATCAATGTTATGCATCTTTACTCTCCATAAATACTTAATTTCCTTCAGAATAAGTTTCTAATGTGGTATGCTGAATGGGCAGAATGGTTTTATCTTTCTGATTTCATTTGTAGATTTAGAAATGAAATTTTTGTTCAGTTGGCATAACTTTAAAGAGTAAATACAGCCCTGGCTGTTACCTAGATACTCTSATCAATGCTTTGGAGCTTTTTGCTGTCAGCTTGGTAGCTGACACAAAACCACAAAAGCTTCCAAAAATAAGTGGGTGAGTGGTGGGTTGTGGTGTATTCACTACACTTAGAGTGAGAGACTGAGTGAGAGTTAGAGTGAGTTAGAGTAGAGCAGGCGTACTCTAAGAGCAGGTAAGTGTGAAAGTCCCTTATGAAGAGAAATTAAGCATGCTTGGAAGAAATAGTCTCTGAGTGTTTTGCTTGGCCTTCTTATCTCCTCTTTTAAAAGCCACTGTGGGACTTCACAGGTTGTTGTGTCTCTGCACACATTGAATTTATGCTTGKAACAGAGAAATGATGTAGTTACTGTTGCATACTTTATGCTCACRTGGGAGAAACTGAGGCACTGCAAAGTAGAGGAGTGGTTTTGCAAATAGAGGAGTAGTTTGTAATATTTAGTGGGCAGTGCATTTGGTCACATCTTTTTGCTTCTGTTTGACCACACATGCAGACTATAATCTGTATGTATCCTTGACAAAGTCAAGTCACATTGTAGGAGCTCTCACAGGTCACATTGTAGGAGCAGGGAGCTCCCGAGTSGGGTGGCAGGTTACAATGCAGGGCCACGAGCTTGGCCAAGAGCTCTTGGCACTGCATCATAACCTGCCCTCAGCTGCACCATTGCCTTCATTGCAGCAGACTTTCTGTGAATCTCTACAGCCAGGTGACATTTTTGGCTCAAGTCCCTGGGTACCTCTCAAAAGGTAACCCTCAATACCATTTCTTCTCCTTTCTCTCCCTGTGACAGGGAGCTGAAGAGCCCAAGCTGAAATGGGAGCACATCACGACACTTGTTTCCAGCCTCAGAGAATTTGTGCGATCCACCGATCGCAAGATCATCGCAACGACCCTTTCGAAGCTGAAGCTGGAGCTGGACTTCGACAGCCAYGGAATCAGCCAGGTGCAGCTGGTGCTGTTCGGTTTCCAAGACGCGGTAAGTTGTCAGCCTCCCCAAACTTTCTGGGTGCTGGAACCCCAGAAAGCATCCAACCCGGAGTCAGAATGAATRGGACTTCAGTAACTTCCTTTCAGAGATACCAAAACGTGAATATTTGAAGGCTGTGAGTTTCTGGTAATAAAAGAAAAAGAAAAAACAACAATAAAAAAGACCACAGCCACAATTTGGTTGGGTTGCTACGGGATCATGTGGCAGGATGCAGAACCTAAGTACAACTGTTAACTGTCCAGTAGTTTTCTCTGAATAAAGATATAGAAGGTTCCCCATAGCTGTACAAATATTACACCATAATACTACAGTAGAAGAGCCTTTAAAAAAATCTCCTTTTGAAGTGATTTCTGCTAAAGACAAAGATTTCTGCTAGATCACCATTGAGTTTAAGGCTTATTCTGCATAAATGCAAAACTCTTGAACTCAACTTCCCTTATAAACAAGTTCATTAAGCCACTTTGTCCCCTAGATTATAGTTTGTCTGCCATATGATCCTGCATTGAACCCCTCTTTTGGTATTTTTGGCTAGCAATTCTGCCAAATTGGGCATTTTCATTTCAAATTACAATCAGCAGGACAAATAGGAATAAAAATAACTTATATTTTTTTACATGGGGTGGAAACTTGAAAGTTATTTTTGTCAGTAATRAATGCAAAATTTACATTTTCCTACAGTGAGCAACCAAGCACACACTTGAATAACCTTTAAATAGCTAGTTTACCAAAATTATTTTTTTTCTCCTTAAGGTTTGTGTTTAAATGTTAGCCACAAACAATCAGACTTGATGCTTAGAGTGAATAATTGCAAGTGCAATTGTGCTGAGCATCACTGTGTTTGGACAGGCATCGTATAGCAAAAATGAAATGATWTTGCAAGCAGACTTTCCAGGTGGATGGTTTGCGAGCGCTTAAGTCTCGGGCACTCCGAGAGGTACAAAGAGCTTGCAGGAAGGACTGCACAGCATTTACACTGCTGCATAGGCAGCACTGGCAGAGAATTAGATGCTGTTTACCAATAATAAACCCTTCTTATGTAAGATGAACCTGTAAAGGAGAGAATTCCCCAAGTGAGAGGCTTTTCTTTGAGTCTTCACTTTGCCTATGCTTCCTTTTGACTGCTCTCCATCTAACTGATATTACTACTGGTTGACTTATGAAATAAAAATGTACTAGATCAAGAAAAACACGGATTTCTCTAGTAGGTGGAACACTGAAATCTGTGTCTGCGCCAATCTCTTGGGTACCATAGAGACTGGGATATTGCTAAGAGTGAGGGAAAATGGATCCTTGTTCTCTGGGCTTAATAACATACCCCGAGGCGATGAGGCTTGATATTCGGGATACCCTCGGCAGCGCAACCCGGACCGAACTTGTGTGTGGTGCTGTCAACACCGCAGCCCGCACGGGGCTTGGCGCTTCCCGCCAGGGCCCGTCCTGCTGCGCTGGCGGCACGCGGAGGGCGGCAGGGCCGCGTCCCGGGGCCAGGGGCCTGCGGAGCCGCCACCGTCCCGCTGCGGAGCCGGGGCCGCGCAGCGTCCAGGGGCCATCTCGGGCTGCCGCCGACGCCAGGGAGCGCGGATTTGGGATTAATCTCGCTCACCCTTAACACATCCTCAGAGAGCAGCAGCTGTGTGACGGTGGGTACCTCTCACAGAGGGGCTATGGCAGTCTGACAATTAGATTAAGCTCTTTCTTTTTTCTTTCAAAAGATATAAAAGTATCCTCTTGCCACATATTCCAGTAAGCCATAGCTGCTGCTCATGGTTGTGCTTTGTTTCTTTATTTTATCTTTTTTTCCATAAGGCTTAGAGTAGTTTTTATAACTCTATAAACATATGTGTTCTTGTAACTTCTAGAGTTTTACAGACTTATAGATTTTGACTGTTTCTATACCCAAAAAACAGCATTAAGGGTGTTCCCTGCTATTGCCATTCACTGTGGCTAGCCATTTTGTTCCAGCACCGTCACTTCAGTTGCTTCTTCCCTGTCATTTGAGTGCWGAAAATCTCTTTTCCTAAGAGAGAGACATTCCTGCAAGTTGCACAGAGCATCCATAGGGTCTGAAAACAAAGTTTGTAATAGGTCTGTAGGGAATTAGGAGTAACCTAACGTAGGCAAAAGGAGAAGGAAAGAAAATGGCACAGAATACAAATACAAGGCCCCAAGCCATTTAAACCAGCATTAAGTATTTTCTGAATCAAAAGGAAGTAGCATTACATTAGTTCTTCGATATTTCCTACAATTGTACTTTAAAATGGATAACTATGTTACCCAGGCAAAGCAGTCAAAACCCGTGCCAAAAACAAGGAGATGAATTAGCTTAAGTTATGAAACTTTCATAATAGAGTCCTTGCTTTTTGTTTTGGGGCACACATTTTTCAGTTTCTGCCCATGAACATGAAGGTTAAATAAACTTCAGTATCATGGTCGTCAAAAATCTCCCATCACAGGAATTGGCACTTCACGAAAAATAGAAAATATTGTAAGACTTGGCAGCTTCAGCCATTTTATTGCTATGTTATGACCATTTTCTTCACTTAATGGCAACATGAAATAGTTTGAGTTACGTGCTTCAATACAACACCTGTAAGTTCAAACTTTTTAAGTAATACTGATCATCTAGCACAATTTAAAGTTCTGGGGTTAAAGTTACATGGCAATTTAAAGTCATGTACGACCTGACCTGACCTGACCTGTCCTCTCTGTTGCCAGGTCAACAAAGTTCTCCGAAATCACAACATCAAGCCGCACTGGATGTTTGCACTGGACAGCATCATCAGGAAAGCTGTGCAGACTGCTATTACCATCCTGGTCCCAGGTGAGTCATTTCTTAGTATTCGGCAAGGGTTCATTACCTGATCCCTTGAGGGGAGTGCCTGAGGGCAGCACTCATGGTGCTTCCCTTAACATTCTGAAACCAGCAATGAGCCTTTTCCTGTTTCACAACTCAAACATCTCCAAGCGAGTTGTCCAAAGTATTTTGGAGAACACCTTTCTGAGGTGTGTAATTAAAGCTATTTTGCAAAGTAGTAGCCATCCACTGCTGTCCCAGGCACTCTGAGGTCTCATTAATCAGGGCACAGTAGTGTCCCTTGAAATGCCGAGGAGAGCTAACCTACCCAGCACAGGTTTTACAAAGCATGGATCGAGGGTTTGCTTGTCTGAGCGCTCAGGAGCCTCCTGGTAAGAAGCTGGGCAAAGCAGATGACCGGCAGYGTGCTGCTACAGTGCTCTCTGCTATGGCTCTGGAATATGTGGCTTAGCTGAGGGAAGGAGTCCAGGTAACCGGAGCCGTAACCCGTTCTCTTGACCTGGGTTACCTGTTTCAACAGGTCTCTCTGCTGCTTCCTAGYGTCTCATCCCCTCTCCCTCGCCCTCTACTGGGACTAATGGTGAAATACGTTTTATTGCTCCAGCTCTAAAGTAAAAATGATTAGGTTCCTGTTTTCTGCAGTGGGTAAAGACTTAAATTATCAACAGGGGATCTGAAAATTCCAGTAAAATGTATGGCTCTTCCTCTTGTCCTTGGTATTTTCCACATCCCCAGCACAACCTGCAAGGTATAAATGGGCTTTTTGTGAGCCTTGAAAGTCACAAGGAAAATCTAACTTTTGACTAGAATGCTGAGTATCTTTAATAGACATGTATGTCATTACTGTATATCGGCATATAATAAACTTAATAAACTCTTCTTTTGTTAATTACACATAGTCAAACTTAAGCTAAAACTTAAGCTCAGTAGCTTTCAGATCCTGGTCTTCTGCCTTTTCCCTAAGTGCTTTACCCAATTTCTGATTAATCCTCTCACTTTCTTCTGATTATTTTTTCCCCATGGGTAACATTTAATTATGAAGGGTCTAATATTTCTAAAAACATCAGTGTTTAAAGAATGATAATCAGTAGATATTGTATTGTTCTGCTTATTGGTGGATGACTTGCATGGGCAAAAAAAAAACCCTTCTGTTCCTACTAATTCCAGACATTTCAGGAAAGCTCTGACATATTTGCCCAGTGCAATAGCACTATTTGAGTAACTGCCGTACAAAAAATCTGCTTTCTTTAATGTAGCCTATAAGCACAGCCTTGATGCTTTCAGCCTTGAAAAGGACRTAACATTGAAATGAAGAAATGGATCAAGGAACAAATCTCGGTTTTGGAAAGAAGARGAGCGGGCTTGTCAGTTTTCTAGAAGAAAGGAAAAACTTTCAGAGAACAAGTTTGATTCAAAAAGTGTATGCTTTTAGTGAGGAGACCAAAGGGAGTGCTAGCACTGAGCAGTTACAATTGAAGGAAGGAAGGGAGGAAGATCTATTATTAAATAGTTAGAATTAAACAGATGTTGTTACAGTAATGGATTTTGTAGGAACATCACAGGCCTTGTATACATATTTTGCATACCTGGTAAATTATGGTAGCAAGCTTAAACAGGGTGTTTGTGTGTTTGTATATGCACATACACATACACACACACACACTCAGCTTTACTGAAGTTTATATCAGAGTTTACATATAGCTTTGTGTCCATGCATGAACGTACACTGTGGACATACGTTGTTACAGAATAGGCACRGTTATACCTGGTAGGTCAAAGGGAGGTTTGCTGCTTGAATTCTTGGGAAGGGCGCCTGTTTSTTATTTCCTCTCTGTATCTTTGCCTGTAATTTTTTGGTAAATATGGTACTCTTATAGTGAGAGAGTGCTAAGTATAACAGAATAGGAGCACCAAGAATATTTGGATGAAAGAAAAATAATGGTTATTCATTTAATAAAATGATTCAGGTCAAATACATGGAAAAATCACAAACTGCTGAGAACAGAATAAAGAAAAACAAAGTACTTTTGCCACACAGAAAACTTCAGCTTARTAGCAGAAAAGAGATTTGGGGATTATTTTGAAAAATCTCTAAAGCTTTCGATCCCCTGTGCAGCTGTGAGACATTCACAAGACACGCAGCTGTTCTGCCTGATAGCTGTGATAAAATCCAAGGCGGTAGAAGTGGTGCCCGTTAATGGCCAGCAACGCTCGTTCACGCGAGATGAGAGAAGAGCAGCAGGCTCCCCACGGCCCTCGGCAAACGCCGAGCCCGTCGTTGCACCGGGCAGCAGGGAGCATTCGTGCTGCARGTTCTGCTCCTCGGCCTGGCTCTGCACAGCTGGACAACCAGTGCTGGCCAACACGGAATCCCTCTCATCCAGATTGTCCCTTCCAGCATTCAGTAGGCAGCAACATTCATGTTGCAGTTGTCTCAGTGGCCTTAAAACTCCTGGAAAGCATCTTCTGTCCTCTTGCTACGGACATTTCAGGTCTGGTTTAACCAAAGCTCCAGATCATCTGTAATTACTTTGTCTTCTTTTAATTTTGTTTGATATTCTTTCTTTTGCYTATGCTCTAATGTTTCTAACAGAATTGAGGCCACATTTTAGTCTTGCCTCTGAAAGTGATACAGCAGATCAGGAAGAGATAGAAATTGAAGAAGACCAGGAGGAACAGCCCCAGAGCCAAGCTGTCCCGCAGCCTTGCATCGTCATGGAAGATGCAGTAGCTACCTCAGGCGTGAGCACGCTCAGCTCCACCGTGTCCCATGACTCCCAGGCCGTTCACAGGTCGCTGACTGTCCAGCTGGGGAGACTAAAGTTAGAGACAAACAGGTAAGCCCGGGTGGGTGTCGAGATACCCGGGACTATTTGTGACAGTATCTATTGTTTTGCACATAAAAATGTATATGTTACAATACAAATGACAGCGTCAAAAATCTGTAGAACTGCAAGTATTAGTTTATCTGAAGGTCAGCATTCGGTGATTCTTGGTATCTTGTATTAGTCTTGGTGCTCATTTCACAATGGTGCTCCAAGTTAAGGTCTGACTTGATTTCAGGTTCCCTTTCAAGGAAAGTCTGAAAAAGTTGAGCTTGCTGCCAGACTTCTGCTCTTTCTCTCCTTCATATGCTGCGTGAGGCTGATGAATGGTGTTGTGTTTTGTTTCCATAYGGGCAGAACTTGCTGTTCCTTTCTGTAGTTATTCTCGGGGAACAAACACAAGCTATTTGACAGCCACACATAAACTGCTCAAGTAAACTGCATCAGACTTGTTTTGTGCACAGAATTCAGTGCAGGAGGATCGGTGCTTACAAGCCCTACGTTTTTATAAAAGACATTTTGTTCATCAAAGAAAGATGGAAAAATAAGTGTGTTTAAAAGAAGAAACGATTCTTAAATATGTATTTTGGATTGTTCATTGGTATTCATTCATCATTCTGAAGCTAAAAAGTGTTTCTTTTTTTTTCCTTTAAAAAAAGAAGTCTGTTGTTTTATCARAAAACTGTTTTCCAGATAAGTTTATTTTCTTTACGTTTAAAGTATCTATCTATCTCTGAGCTAGTCTGCTCCAGAGCAAATGTTTTAGCTTTTGCAGGATCTGATTTATGGCAGTGGGTTTCCCAGTAGTCTGTCCTTGCCTCTGTCAAGAAGGTCTCCGGTTTGAGTGGCTCCCAGCTGACAATATTAATAAGTTCTTTGCTTTCCTGAAAGCTCCAAGCTAATTAAGAAAATGTGTGCTTTCTTTCCATAACTGTACAGGCTATTGGAGGAGTTGGTTCAAAAGGAGAGAGAGTTTCAAGTCSTCTTACATCAAGCTATAGAAGAAAGAGATCAAGAGATCAAAAACCTGCGTCTTAGGTCACAGCCGATACGTAAGTGAGATTTCAAAGACATTTTTCGTACACACAAAAAAACRACAGCAGCAGCTAAACGTCTGCTTCCTATTGACCCAGCCTCAAGGAAGGTGTTTGATCGTGCTGCTTCTGGTAGGATCTGCSCCGAAGCAGGAATTCATGCTATGGGAATAGATTACCTAATTTGTTTCAGTAGTCACAGTACATGGAAAGGGATGATTCAGATGTTTTTTGTCTGTGATCATATTGAAGAGAGCAAGAATCTTTCCTACAGAATAAATATTATTTCTAAAGGGGATGATCTAGTATTATTAAGTATGTGTCCCTTGAATTGCACACTGTTCTAACAGTTGCTTTGGAAGTCCAAGAGGATCTATTTCAGGAGATGTAAACGCAGCTCTGCTGAGGGAAGCGGCGCGGTGGGAGTGCTCTTGTCGTTCTGTGTTTCCGTGCAATGGGTTTCTGAGAAAAGTTACTTTCCAAAAGCTGATCCTCAGCCTAAGGCCTTGCCCCCGCGCTTCTGTCACTTACACTGAACAATTTAGTTAAATCAGTGGGAGAACCTTACTATAGACACAGTTACAGTGACACTGCTGTGCCTACAACTAGTAAAGTTGTTCTTAGGAGAGGAGAAAAAAATGCATCTGTATCATGTATTTATATTACTTTAAATGCCTTCATGTTAAAGACTTTGCTTTTGAGTAAAACAGCTTTATCCCTAACCAAGTAGCACAACTTGTGTATAGCTGCCGATAGCTGCTTGTGGGCTGTCATTCAGTGTGTGAGCTCTGGGGATTGACATATATCTTTATTTAGAAGGACACCGGTGTTCTAAGCTCGAGGGGAAGCTCAGCGCTTCACAGGTCAAAATGACAAGAGAATTCTTTGGCAAGGCATCACCCTGTCTCAAAACTACTTGTTCTAGATATTCCTGGATTGTCTGTCTGTCATCGTCATTCCAGCAGTGCAGGGACCGAAGACCCTGATCTCATAAACTGGCTGAGTGTTCAAGGAGCTGATGAGGACACCATAARCAGGGTAGGGATGGTATTTTCTGCTCACTTTGTGGCATGGCTGCAGTGTTGTTTAGAGACAACTGTTTTGACACGAGAAGATGCCCAGTTTTTAATTTATTTTTTACAACCTTTTGAGATAAACTTGTGGTAGGGGTCACAAGAAAAGCATGAATATGGAAGACCTTCATAAAAATGTAGCATTGTTAATAGTCTGATTAGGCATAAGAGGATAAATTGTTCTGTTTAATGAAGACTATTGCTTTAGTTCCTAATTCCTCTTTATCTTCACAGACCTTGCAGCAGTTCTACTGATTGTACTTGGGCACAGTGCAGATGTTCACGCTTAGCTAACTGTGCTACGTGAAGGTTCCTGACGTAGATGCCTGGTCTGTAGGAGAGATGCCATTTTAGAGGTGTTGAGCTTTCAGAATTGCAGCTGACTKGGTATAACCTGCCTGGAGTTGTCACTCCTACAGATCAAATCAGAACTTCYTAGAAATTCAAGCCAAGTTAGACGCCCCTTTTGAAAAGATAGATCTTAACTGTTGTGTTTTATTTCTTCATCTATGTGACTTGGGGTATTAATTTTGCCTTAATTTATGTTGAGTTATAAGTACCCCATTTTAGCTCCATTCTAGGTTTATTCTAAACTTGAACCTCTGTATATGAAATGTACAAAACTTTATTTCTAGCAAAATGTTCAGTTAAACTTTTTTTCTCCTGCAGTTCTTGGCTGAAGACTATACATTAATGGATGTTCTCTGCTATGTTACACGAGATGATCTGAAGTGTTTGAGACTGAGGTAATGCTTCAGACTTGAATGAACGGTGCRGAGCTGGAGGGTGCTCTGTTGCAACAGAAAGTAACTGATACTGAGCATTTCCTTACTGGATTGTGCTGTGTTAATTTTAAGCAAGTAACAGTTTCAAATATTTCTTTTTATATTGATGCATTCCCGGTAATACACTGGTAATGTTTAAGTTTAAAAAAAAAAAAAAAAAAAGAAAAAAAGAAATCCTTTACCTCCCTTTAAAAGAAAAGCTATTTTTTTCAAAATAAAGCTTTTACCTTATGTCTGGAGATACTGGATGTCCCATTAGAGATTTGCTGTTCTGTAAAAAGGGACATAACATGACCTTATGTAGCTTATTATCATCAGAAAGCTGCAGAAATACTTAGAGACTGCAACTGACACTAGGCTGTATCCAGCCACACCGAGTGTGTCTGCTAGGGCAGGACCAATGTTAAGYAGAAATACCAGAAATTGCCCAGCACTCTGTATGCAGGTAAGTTGTTTGTAAAATATATGTAACATAATATTAAAGAGATGGTAAGATTTCCATAGTAGACATTAGCATAATRGTGGCAGTCTGTTGTGGGTTATGCGTGTGCCTGGCGCCAGAGGTTTGAGCTCCAGAAGGGGCACCTGAGGAACGGAGAGACCGTCCCGGCCACAAGCCGAGGAGGTTTCTGCCCCTCCTGCAGTGTCACGAGCTGTGTCTCACCTTCGGTCGGCCTCGCCCTCAGTTTAGGAGCAGAGCTTAGTCGATCAGAGCTAGAGCAAAGAAATGGGAGCATTTGCAGGCTGTGGAGAGCTTTGCCCTGAGCGTGTCTGTGCTTTCCCTTGCAGAGGAGGCATGCTCTGCACGCTCTGGAAGGCCATCACTGACTTCCGAGAGAAACACGCCTGACGCTGCCGCCCGTCCCCGCTGCTCTGCGCGGGGGCACGCTCCCCTCGGCACCGAGCGGCGCTGCGCTCGGAAGGACTGTTGCACTTTAATCCAGTATTTGTTTACCAGCGTTAGAAACACTGCAGCTTCCTGACTGCTTTCACTCCCACMCCCCCCCAGAATTATGTAAACAACCTGCAATGGTATTTTACTTTAAATGTTTTTTACAYGCAAGTTTTTCAAAAATGACGACAAAAAGAACTTTACAGAACTTTATTAACTCATGACCTATTAAAGTAACCAGACATGAATTTCATAAAAAATAATGATGTAAGATTTCATGTGACTGTGCATCACTGGAACAAAACCAAAATGTGACGACAACTTCTCAAGTTTATTTTTCTTTGTAATATATCTCAGTAACCTGTAGAACTTCATAATTTCAATCAYGATTAGGTATTTTTCTTTTAGCGTACAAGATCTAAAAGTAATTGTTTTTACCTACTGCCTAGTTTAATATTGTTTATTTTTGGTAACTTAAGTTCTATGGTGCATTTGTTGGAGAGTTGTTTATGTACTACTGAACTGTACCAGTTGCATACACCAGAACCATAGTAATGTTAGCTTGTTCTAAAGCTATCTCTGACACACACAGTTAAAAATAAAGAGAGCCTAAGAATTGCTATTTCCTATATTTTTGAACTTTTCAAATAATAAAGGTGTAGAACTGGAAAATATTGGAATTAAAAAAAAAAAAAAAAGGGAAGAAAATCATACTGAGTATCAAAGAGACCTTTCTGACATGTTAAAGTTACTGTGATTTTCTTTTGATAATCGTAGCATTGAATAATTCCTATTTTCTTGTTCAGTCTAATTCCAGCMTTGATAACGCAGGGACCCAAAAAAATCTTATTTTTCTTATTTCTGGAGAAAGTCAAGAAATTAATATCCAGCCTCCCCACAATGAATGGTCATTGTGGCATGTTGTGCCCTTCTGCTTTCGTTTAGTCCAGCCGTCTTTTCTCATGCATCATGGAGAAGGCCCGTGGATGCTCCCTACCCATCCACAGCGCGTGTCCCTGCCTCCTGCACTCCAGCTCTGCCTCACATCAGATTCTTTGGAGGTGACTGCAGAAAGCTCCCGGGAATAAGGCTTGAGTTAAAAGCAAGCCTCTTCATGAACTCTGGTAACCAGTGAACAGTTTGTCCTGAATTCTGCCAGTTTAATAAATATTTTCAAATAAAATATAATTTTTTTTCTAATCAGATGTTGTCCTAACACATATATAGTAAATTGGCTGCCTGAAAATCAACGAAGTTGTATATAGGGGGGAAAAAAACAGGCTAAACAATTTTTTATTTTTATTTATTTATTTATTACTCCCTGAAGATAATTTCACAGATGTTTGTGTCCTGTTACATTTCTGGAATGAAATGAACCTACCTGTGTTTCAGGAGCACCACAGCTATTATTTAACAATGGGTACTGCTGCTACAGGTGAAAGCAGCAGCCTTTCAAGGTGACTTYAAGCACCAGGAAAATCAGGTGGGGAGCTCATGACACGCAAAGCCCAAAGCAGCTAAAAGACCCTTACATGGAGAGGGGTACCTCGGGAACTCCCCCGGACTGGACTCAGCAGTAGGAAACGGGAYGCGCCCTCAAGCTTGGAAAGGTTGTGCCAGCGGCGCTGAGCATGGGGCTGCTCCAAGCACCCGCTGTTGGGTCTCCCACCCGGTCCCGCTGCCCCGGAGCCCTCATGCACCGCTAGGCTGGACAAGGAGACTCTGGAATCGCGGGAGACATGTCCCGGCCCCACGGGAATGGATCCCGCGGCTCCTGGCAGCCTCCGTGGGGCCCTGCCCCGTGTTTCCCTGTGGGCCGGACCCCAGCGCGGCCGCTCCATGCGCGGGCMGGGCCCGGCTCCGTGACCGCGGCGGGGCCGGAAGGGGCATCCACCGTCCCATTTCTGGGCAGGGCAGGGCAACTCGCTCTGCTTGGGCAAKGGCTGGTTTCGGGGAAGAGCACTTGGGAGTGTTTGCCCACATACTGGGTCGACTTCATTCCCTACGTGTTGTCGTGCTCGAGAGCAGGTTCTTTAATAGCCCGGCTGCTTCAGGCCAGGTAGCCCGCGCTGCCTGGCCCGTCTGCAGAGCTCTCAACATTTACACAGGCACGGCAGAGGTTTATAGCTCCCTCCGCTCTTCCGGGCCCACAAGGAATCTCGGGGAGCCTTGCTTTATGTTAAATACAAGTTAGACACAATTCATTTCAAGGTATAGGGAAAAAAGGAAGTTGATGCCAACGGGATGGGGATGTGGCCCCTAATGCTGTCAACATGTAATGACCAGGTAACAGTCAGCACGGACAATGCTGGACTCGGATCCGCTTGCAGCCCTGGAGCAGGGCGCAGGCAGCGCTGCACAGGGGCCCTGGGCCTCCATCCATCCATCCATCCATCCATCCATCCATCACGGCCCGGGCCTCCATCCATCCACCACGTCGGGTCTGCGCTGCAGCCCCGGGACCTTCACCCGGCCAGGGGGCTGTGCACTGAGCGGGGCTCTGCACGGCCCCGTTCCCGCTTCCAGTGCCGCCTCCAGCGCCGTCGCCGTGGCTCCCTGTGCCCGTGCTGGGCACCGCCGGGCCATCCAACCGCTCCAGCCACAGCCGTGAGCATCGCTACTACCTGGAACCAGGTGCAGAATAGAGCRGGGCTTTAAGCCTCACCCAGAGCCGTTTTCAAAGCGATGCTCGGCAGCACCCAGGCCAGGTTATGCCCGCTCGCAGCAGAGGCGCGGGCCGGCACCGCGGGGCCGGTCCCGCAGCCCCTCGCCCTGGGGCCGCCCGTCCCGCCGCG